TAGGATCGTATCGAACATCCCTACTGTCAAGATGTATAACCCAAGGTACCGACGGAGCTATATTGCGGCGTCAAGGAAATAATTTTAAATTTTCATTTGCATTTTTTCAAGTGTTGTGCAATGATTTTGGGAAAAATGTCACGAATAGTCTTATAAAGGATAGTAGAGTATATTTCAACAGTTTGCGGAACTTACTCCACTGGGACCAGGAGGGTAAAACGGGATATTAATGCACAATCTGGCAACCCTGTCCCACCCTCACAGAATGACCGCTGATAACCACACAAGTCACCCTGTTGTCATTGAATAGCATGGAATTAAACCTTCAGAGTATAATATATTTTGTGACTGGTACCAAGAGTTGACAGATCCCACACATGTGTCACTCCTTGAAATGCAATAATCAGCTGTAGTCAAATAATGGCTAATATAAATATAACCTAGAATGTGTACTCGTGAAAAAAGAAAAATATTGCAAATTTGTAGTTTTTTTGCAGGTTTTAGGTTTGATGGTAGCTTTAAAGCGTATATTTGGGAATTTATTAATCGCTGTGAATATAGTGTGGATGTTTGTTCAGTTCCTGAACAACGAAAAATATGCAACTTTATGGATGTATGGATATCAAAACACCTGAATGGTTTTGTGGGAATATCAATCTAAGGTGGCATGATGGTTCTGATGAACGGCAAGTAAATGAATGAATGTTTGGAAACGAGCAATATCTTTTGGTAGAGCCTGTCATCAAGTAGGTGCTTAATGGCCATCTGCAAGATGTTGATAAGAAAAAACACCCAATATCAAATATCAATTGAAGAAAATAATATAAACATGAATAAAAAATCAACAAGAGAAATTAAAACATGAATTTAATTCAAAAATCAAACATTTCTTAAAATTTTGACTGAATTATATGTAATTTCTTAATATTCAATAAGCTGGTGATGTTTCAATGACAAGTTGTCATCTCATACTTTTGTTTGTTTTCAACATTTCATAGCTATTGGTTGCCAAAATTTGTTGATTGGAACTTGAAGCTCATTCGCTGTATCTGACGGTCTGTTACCCTATAGGTGGAGAATAACGCACTGTTGTTGGTGAAATTGGGCCTTAGTGTTGTGAATTTATTCAGTTTGCAGCTCTTATTTCATAAAAATACGTTAACTATTTATTAATTTTTTCTTATTTCACACGTAATTATAACTTTTAGAGTACAAATATAATGAAATTCAGGAAAATTAATACTTCAAAGTGTCATATCTCAACGAAAAATTAGATACGTAAACAACCCAACGGCATCAGAAAGGACAAGGATTGTTCTTTGGGATCATGTCTATGGCATAAAAAATTAATACACCATCCGACGTAACCTAAAATATAGGCAAAAATTGCAGTTTTTGCACCTTAGCTTAGGAAACTAGAGCCAGTTGACACACTTGGACAAAGGATTGGTATTCCACGCATCAAAAATCTCCGGGTAAGTATACTTTGGTTTCTGGGTAAAAATCTCTCCAGCCTGTGTTATGAAGGTTTGTATCACAACTGCACGGATTCAACAGGGATTTCAATGTGATGTAACGGGCAAGGTAGGTTTGTACATTCAGTGTTTCCCACATACACCACCAACCGTTTATTTCTTCGTAAAACCCTCCCCGTAACGTTACAACTTCACCAGACTGAGTTACCCGCACCGTACAAGGAACCTTATAAAATTTTCAATACCCCGTAAACTTGCGCCCTTTGCAAAGTGGAGAAGTTATATATCACGGTGTACTTTCGAGCCAACAAAAAAATATAAGCTGCAGACAATTTACGACCGAAGCTATTTTTGCTTCAGGTGGGAGTGGCATGGATCGCTCTTTCTCATAAGGTAACGTTTAAGCATTTATTAACGTATTTGACCTGAAATTATTCAAGGGAAAAAGAGATTCCGTAGAGAATTTGCCATAGCGATCTATGCCCCAAAGGCATTCTAACAATCGGAAGAGGATAGAGCATTTGCAATCAAAAAAGCCATATATCGTTTGAAATTTTTTGAAAATGTGCCTACAGGAATTTGAAAATCACCTATGTCATTGTTTGGCTGTTTTTGTTTTCTATCTAACAAATTAAGATGGATAAAATTTTTTTCTAATTTTCTCAAAAACGAATCAACTGATTTTAAAAAATCAAACGTCAAAATAGTGGACTTCGAAAGACCTTGCAAACAAGCTTTTACTCGATACCCCTCATCATTTAAAATTTTTACGGGAACGACCCTGAGGGGCCAAGGATGAAAGGGGGTGAAGTACTTTTTGGTTAGATTTGTCCCCCTTGACAAATCTTTTGACGTATCTCGGCGCTTTATTCTTTTAATTAGTGGCTTTCGATAAATCCGTAGTGGGAAGTTTTTAAATGTATGTCCTTATACGATTTTGCACTGCTTTTGAGTTATCGCCATTTTTTCAGGCAATCTCTAGTTTTGAGACTGTACTATTGATTTTCAGTAGTTTTTTTTTGTTCTTTTTCAATGAGATCTACAGAATATGTTCCCAACTGATGTGTCGCTGGAAGAACAAGATACTATATACTTGTATATTCAATGTAACTGCTTCTGCTTTTTAACAAGTACAAAACATTTATATATGTATATTGTATGAATAAATTGAATCTTGAATCTTGCTACGCAGATGGAGTTGCCTCATATTTATTGCTGTCAACTTATACAGCTTCAAGTTGTTTTCGTAGAAGAGCCAAAATAATATCTAGAATCCACCGAAATCTGCATAAGACAACGAGATGGCCGTAAAGCAAACAGCAAACTACAGAGGCGGGCAAACTTCGAAATCGCGTTATTTAATACAGTTAAGGCAACGGCAAAGACATTGCAGAAACAAGCTCTCTTAATTATTCACGACCAAGTCCCGTATTGTATGGAGAGCACGCATTCATATCTACAACGCGACAACTTTAAAACTCATGAATTTGGAATAAAACGCAAACAATGGCCAGAAGCTGAATGTGCCTGCCTGGCTAATATAGGCGAGACCTGGCGACCTACGGCTGAGAGTTTCATTGTTCTGCTTTCTCAACGGTAAGCCGGTGACTTAACGTCTTCGCTGCCTTAATGCCACAGTCCGGGAGGGTATTACCTTGCCCGCAGGTGTATTAACTGCTTTAACGTTTGATAGTTTTATATTACTTGGATGCGGGCTGATGAATAAAGGCTGAACGCTGAGCTTTCCTCGGCGATCAAATGGTGACGTGAGAGAAAACGCGGTAATATTACCTCCAAAACCACAGAATATGATCAAATAATGGCTGTAATGGTTTCATCGATTATTCCGTCCATCTCTATGTATACTACCTGTAACAGGTTGGCTGTTATGGCTTCAATTGGTAAAAAGCAATTAGCTAAATAGTCAAATACATTTACTAACTATCTAAGTCGGTAACGATGAAATTCGCTAATTACGATGTCAGTCAGAATTATCACTAAGATAGACCGGAAATCGAGCGGACCTTCCGACAATAACTCAAAGTTCAAGTAATTAAGAATTTGGAACCTTTGGAGCTGAGTAACGGAATCCGTTAATAAGACGAATATCAATTTCTCAGATCACAGCGAGGGTAACTTACCTATTTACTATCTTACGCCGAGAAAGCCCGGACTAAGGTCAATTACTTACTTGGTTGATCTTACACTTTAGTTATGCAGCAGCGGTGGCCGCAGTAGTAGACTCTTCGGTCTCCTGATCAGTCACCGTGCGCTGTGCGGGTTCGAGTCCCGTCCCAGGAGAAATTTTTCTCTTGGCTATGGCTGTTGTGATTGCCCGTAGGTGGTAGATGGTCTCTGACTGTCGAACGCGGAGGTACCACCCGGCGGATCTCGTAGGCGAAGCCAGAATGTGTGCATGTTGCATGCACACGTGTTCCCTCGCCAGAGTCCGTGTGGTGTTCCCCCTTTCCCGTGTATCCCCCTATAGCCTCACGGTACCCAATGGGTGCTTAGGCCTTAGGCCTTCGTGGTAGTTCGAGTATAAAAAAAATTATATATTGATGTTACACTTTAGTTATATATTTAATATTTGAAAACTTATCAGAAGACTCTTCAAAAGTTATGACCTTTAACCATTTACCATAAAAGAGACAATTTTGGAATATGCACCATCAGATCAACAAATGACTTTCTCCATATTATTTATTATTATTTCGACAGGTCGGAGAGTTGGACAGTCGTTAACGTTCAAGTGAAAGCAAGCCGATATTCCAGTAATTTACTTGATGTTTCGAATCTATATTAAAGTTGCATATTTCATTTTAATACATCTCTAATCGAGCAAACGTTTAACTACTACGAGCATCCTTTTTATGTTTATGTGCTCCAATACGGTGCTTTACCCATTCTCAGGGTAAAGTGTGTACAGAAACTCTGCAAACATTACGAGTTGTGGTGGTTCAGTCCACTTGCAGATACTTTGTCATCTATTTCATTATGTAAGCTGCCCAATCATTTTCTTATAAAATGCACAGATGTGCTTCCATGTTGCATACCAAGATGAAGGAAAACTCCTGAGACAATAATGATAATATGTAATAATAATAATGTTTATAGCCCAACAGTCTCCCAATTACAGAACAATAATACATATTCAGACCATAAAACCACACTAAATGAAAGAAACAATCTATGGATGTAAAATATAAACATTGAAAAAAATAATACAAGATTTTTCTCATTATGTCAAGCATCATTACGCGTAACCTCTAGATAAAAATATAAAGCAGACATTTGCAATAAACATATAATGAAGGTTATATGCCAGACAAATTAATAAAAGTATAGCCCGTTTTCTCGATCCAAGTACGAACAACCACAATACAGTATTTTTCAAAATTTATATCACAAACAGCAGAAACTGAATTAAAATGTTCACACATTCACAAATTTAGAAGCAGGTTAATTCAAGCTCTCTCAGAATGTTTTGAGATTTCTCAAACAAGGCATGAAAAAATTAATACTAGATAAAATTACGCTTGGCGTCCTAGATATCATGCTAAAGTTTATACGAAATGGTTATAGAACTGCGTTTTCGTCTTAGATACAGACTAATTCACATCAAATATTTGACGCATATTCTAATTTTGAGCGGACAGGTCAAGTACATTATTTTAAGTGAAAGATCGTCAGTTGCTCATTGTGAATCCATACGCCTTTGATGAGGCATTAACCATTATTGAGTTATGCTCAACAAAACAATTGAATCAAAAACATCCCCAGATCTTACGTTTTCTGACAACGAGAAAGTACCTCATCGCCCAAGGTATAGTCGTAGAGAAACGGACTTTTCTTTCTGGTAAGACATACTTTGAATATAAACCAATTCCATCTTTAAGGTTCTGGTAACAGATAGGAAAGTTTTCGAATCGTCAACATTAAAAAATTTATTAAATTGAGAGTATGACACAAGTCATTTATGAATAATGTGAAAAGCAATGGGCCAAAATTTGATCAATACGGCACCCCCAATCTGCAAGCATATTCATAAGAGTTATAACCATTATATGAAACAAACTTCCTTCTGTTATATAGAACTGAACGCTCTAGGCAATAATTTTTAAGTTTGTTTATAAGAACTGCATTGCTAAGACTGGGATTTACCTGCGAAATATTTCCTATTTCTTCTATCCACTCCCTCTTTGGTATCAGACAGACATGTATTGGTTCTTTAAAGCTGACCGCATGATTTGGGAGCATCAAGAGCTACATCTAATTACGTGTGTGTTAAATTTGGCAAAATGGTGAGTTTGATATAATATGTAAATATACTAAGTGACATATAAATCCGAACACCCAGTTTAAATGGTTTTATTTTGATAAAAGTTGGTGAATGTATTTATCTTACTTTAAATAACAAGTGAAAAAATTTTCAGCCTTATCAGTTGGACATTCCGGTTTTTATACTGCTTTTTTTTAATTCACTAACGCTCTAAAAATGAATATTTCAGCCGCAGTAAAGAATCAACGTTGGCGGATTTTGGTTCTTGACATCCTTTACGATCGGTTACGATGCCTAGAGTACGGAGACCTGTACGATTTCGTCAACTCAGTGAGTTTGATAGGGGGCGTATAGTGGGACTTCGGGAAGCTGGACTTTCTTTTCGGGCAATTGCAGTTAGAGTGCAAAGAAGTTAGTGTAGACACTGTGGTTAGGTGTTGTCAGGCATGGCTTCGAGAATGCCGTACGCAAAGAGCAAGGGGCACTGGACGCCGCCGTAGAACAACAGACCGTGAAGATCGCCGCCTAAGATTATTGGCCTTAAGGGACCGTTTCTCCACTACCAGGTCCATTGCAAATGAATGGTTTGCAGAACAAAAAGAAAGACATGTTCATCACACTGTTGGAGTTATGGTTTGGGGTGCTATAGCTTATGGTTCCAGGTCACCTTTAATCTTCATCAGAGGTAACATAAACGCGCAGCGTTAAATCCACGAAGTTCTAGAACCCCACCTTTTACCCTATCTTGACACACTGGCAGATCCAACTTTCCAACAAGATAATTCCCGACCACATGTTGCAAGAGTCACAATAGACTTCTTTCAACATAATGATGTCACATTGTTACCATGGCCACCAAGATCTCCCGACTTATCCCCAATTGAGCACGTGTGGGAGATGATGGGTAGGAGATTGCTCAATTTGCAACGTCCTCCTCAGACTCTAGAAGCACTTCGAGAGGGGTTGGTGGTTGCCTGGAATGAGATACCACAGGAGGACATTGACCACCTGATCAGAAGCATGCCTAGGGGCGTTGGAGAATGCGTAGCACATCAGGGTGCATCCACAGATTATTAAAGGTCAAAGGGCTTTAAAGCAGTGCAATCATTTTGAAATTTTTATCATTTACTTATTATGCTTCATTAAGTACTTATACAAAATTTTATTAAAATAAAACCATCTAAACTGGGTGTTCGGATTTATATGTCACTTAGTATATGCTGCTTTATTGACTTTTATTCTGTACATATTTTTTCTGATTTGCTCTGCATCTTTTTACGAATCCCTTTTTTTAATGGTCTGCATCAGATGTGATTTGTAAATATTTAATTCTTCATCATGTCACGGGTCATTTTTTCTCTATATATGCATATATTTTCATATTTCATTGAAAGGAATTATGTGGCTAGTGACGGAATCTTCACGTGTATATTTTACTAAAATTCACATGAGTATAGAAGGTTTTTAATAATCACGATTCTTTTTGCTGGCTAAATGATTTTACTTTGGACTTCTTCTTTGATTGATAAGAACAATTCAAACAATCACTGTTATAACCTAGAAAATCGTAGTTTCTTTTTTTATTTCCTACGCAACTGGGCAAGAAAGTATTTTAATCGTGAAACATTTAGAAAATAATATATTATATATTATTTTCTTTGGATGTTGCAAGACTATGTCACCTATTTCCGTCTGTCTGTCTAACTAATCCTTGACTCCGCTACAGCTTGGAAGTTTCACACAAGGTTACTATTGTGCCAACGATGAATAAGCTTTGTAGTCTATGAAAATCGACCCATTAGCGGCTAAGTTACGGGCAAAAAAACGGCATTTTTTGGTGGGAAAAATAATTGGTGGTTGGGTATCGTAGGGGGTAGAGAGTTGATGCTAGTGATAAGCTTTATATAAGCTTCTGATCGCGGTAAAAACTCGAAATTTAAATGACAGATCCAATGAATAATGAAATTTATATGATCGAATATTATGTGGATGTTAGGAATGGGTATGACTTTAGGGTTCTACAAAACAGTGGAGCTCTAAAATCGTCGATATTTTACAAAGTTTGGGATGCAAAGGCTTACGATATATCGTACCAAACTGAACATACCTAATCAAATCAAGCTTTGAAATTTGAACGAAGGCATGGGAAGTATATAATTAAGCCTCTTAACGCTCATTTTAAAACACTGCGACTCTTGGAGATGCTTAGGCCATTAAGCACGTAACCAACGCATCCAATCGTTTATAGATACGGGACCGCCCTCGTCCTTAGCCTTTAGGCCTAATATAAGGCTTTGCTTTGCCCAGTACCTTAGCTAGACCTCTTCTACTCCATCCTTAGCCTTGCTTAAATCTAATCCATGGGCTAATCTGCGTCAACACAAGCCCAGTCTGGGCTACATCTATATCTACATCTGCAACTTAAGACCTACGGTTTTCGACCTAAATTTAGCAGTATGGAAGGCGTGAAAAAATTGTTCGCTTCCGATGCGACAACAAAAAGTCGACAGCAGCCTCTCTAAGCGTTGGCTTACAACTAGTTATAGTGATTTTATCAAATATATAATTAGAATGCTTTTGTTTGATGGAATTTGTTAAATTTTAACTTGCCCTGTTCTGTACTCCCTTCTCTCAACATGCCATTGTCAACGTTTGCCATGCACCTTGCTCTTGAGCCTCATGCTTTCCTGTAGGAAGCTAGTTGTCGCCCTTTTTGTGTGAGCATAGATAACTGACAATAGAAGTTCGATTTTCCGCAGTATAGCTGCGGTAGTATCTTCTGAAACGAACCTGATTTTGGATTTTCAGTATTCTCTAAATATATAGTTGTTAGTATCCCCTCGTAGATCCACCCCTGTCACCACCCTCCCAATTTACAAGGGAATTCACAAAAGAGATTTCCGTTACCCCATAACTCTTGTTCCTGACTGCTGCAATATGGGACACATTTGATAGTTTCCCAGATACACACATACATTTCCTGGGATCCTGATAAATTGTTAAACTAGCAGGAAATATACGGTCGCCTCCTGGCAAGATACCATCCGAATCCTCAGGGTTTCTGTTAAAAATGACTTTCCCTCAAAAATAATGTTCCACACGCTTTTTTAGAGTAAGACGGATGATGGGGGTTAACGGCTGTTGTTGCCCCAATTTTGCGGGAACAGTGTCTGTTT